CAGTTTTGTGAAATTGGTAGTGTGAAAGACAAAAAGGAACATAACATAGTCAAGGTACAGTTCTTACTGCAGATAAACTTGATCCCATATGTGGAAATAGTGCTGAGCAACAATTTCTATATCTCCTGTAAACTTCCTATGGGTTGCAGTACTTTTCAAACATCTTGCACCAAAGTGTACAGAGAAGCAGAAAGTTCCACTTTTCCTGTTCACATCTCTTTGGCTGAGGTGTGCAGGTGTGCCACACCACTGTGGAAGATCACTCCCTATACACTATTGCACTGCATGTTCAATTCAAAGTAAATATCTAGGCACACCTATTGTCTTTAAAGAATGTTCTCCATCAATTTGGCCTGATGCCCTGGATGATTTGGTCTGGTTGATCAGTAACCACAGCTCTTAAAAATGCTTGGTAGTCTTCACATGAAAGCTCAGAGGGAAACCAACCACTGTGCTCACATCAAAAAGAACAGATGGGTGCTGAAGAGAGCAAAAGGAGAGGATGTAAAAATAGATGGAAATGAAAAAGGCAGTCATGAGGAAGGGAAGGGAAGAATATTTTGGATGTGACCAACCCTCCTCCAACTTGCAAACCCAGAGTTGGAGATTTGCTAAAATGGTACGAGAGTTGGCCCCTTTTTCTGATATTAAATAAATGCCCTTCATTTTCCAAATGGTGACTAACTTGAAATATATTTTTCATGTTTCAACCATATTTTCCATTCCATATCACTTCATGGACTTAAACTTTTCATCTTGCAAATTGCTCCTAACCTGCATTTTTTTAAAGAGATATTTCAACTTCTCATGCAAAATATTTCCTTTGTTGCACACCATACGATGAAAAGCACCAAACTGCAGCTTTCAGATTGAATTTGTACCCCCATACAAGTGCTACCATCAATTACCAATCAATTACATCATTACCAGCAGGTAACAACACCTTCTGGAAGGGTGATTTTTTTAATCTTCAGTGAATCCTTTAGAAGCAGTGCTTTTTCTATTCTCTACTACTCAGAGAGGATATGAACTCAATCTGAAAAGAGTGCAATTTTTATGGTTATGTCAAACATTGGGAAACCACAGGATATGTGTCACTGAGCACAGCATCAGAGCCTAGCAAATAATAATCTTCCTGGCTACTTTCTCTCATGAGGAAAAATGTGGCTCAACTCAGAAGAAAATGTGTCTTACCCTTTGTTTCTCACGCTGACCTACGTGGCAACAAAGTTTGAAGGACCCATCTGCAATCACTGAAGTGAAAGTCACAGATTGCCTGCAGAAGCAGGACCTAAATGCATTTTCAACTGCACATATGAAGGCTGTGTGATCTTCACGAAGGAAGAAAATGTGTTAACTCCCAATAAGCTGGACAGCATAGGTTAGACAGTTGCACAAGTGATCAACCTGGCATGCATATATTTAAGATAGGCCTAGGCATAGCATCAAAGATTTATAAAAACTTGTCTATCAGCTCTGGGTGCCAGTACCAATATCTGCAGCTTATTCTTCTGAAATTATTGGAGACTTACTGACTCAAAGTAATTCCATTTTAAACTATTATCAAATCAAGAAAATTGATGAATTTATAATCAAAGCAAGAAGACAAGTAGCAACTAACTCTGGTGATGATTATTTTTTGTTAGCTCTATATTCCTTGCACATGCAGCATCTTTAAGTTCCATGCTGACACCTAGCCAAAGGCATATATTTTTTTTAATTGCACACCATCGATATGACCTCAGTACTCCGTAGACAGTTGAATTTTCCCTACAAAACTGCATACTGTGTACTGATAATTTTTTAAATAATCAAATTGATGCTATCTAGGCATTGATAGGCAAGTATATCCTGCTTGTAGACTTGTGCAAATGTAGAAAAGACTGACAGGTCAAGAGTTTTGAATGTCATATTTTGATTCTTGCTTATCAAGGCCAATGAGTACCTGATGAGGGTCCTCATTGGCCTTAATAATGATGAGGGTTGAAAAACATTCATTTCCAAAGTTTGAAGGTTATTGGTGAGGATGGTTGCTTGGTGTGGCCAACGTGGTAAAGAGGTGAAATACTCGGAGAAGTCCAACATGAGGAAATTTGTGGACATGGCAAGTGATAAATACCAGATATTGATGAAGAGTGACAACATGTTTTGGAAATGTCAAAGGAAGTCTGGTGTGAAGCAAGGAAGTGGTGTCAAGTTGATGAATGAAGTTGTGAGTTAGCTAGTGATGATGGAGAAAAATTGTGAAATGGACCACAATATAAATAAACAAATATTAAAGTCAATCAACATTTTTGTGTCCCGACCTGGTCACCTGGGGCAAACCTAAGGGGTTCTATGGATGGCCTTATTGTCCACTATTTGCATTCTATTTCTTTCGTGTGCATGTGTTGCCTTTCACTTAGGTCTTTGTCCTTACTTGCAATTACAAGGATTATTGCCTATTAATTACCTATTCTATTCTACCTCACGCTGCCAAGCATGAGCCAAGGAAATGCACCTTTAATACAAAAAAAATAGGTATTGAATATATTAGTCAGATAAAGGGCAATCATTGACCCTGCTGCCTTCACCAATGTAAGTATTTCATCCAGGCCAATTGCCGTTTCGTTAGTTAAAGAGGCAAGCATATTCAACACTTTCTCAGATGAAAGAGTAGAAAGGCTTAAAGAGGCAAGCATATTCAACACTTTCTCAGATGAAAGAGTAGAAAGGCTCATGTGTCATCCTTGAGTGGATGACACGAGTAAGGCACTTCAGGTAAAGAAGTTCCAAGTGGTACAAGAAGTCTCAATTTCTTGCACTATTTTGAGGAAATAAGAAGATAGGATCCGTAATATCTCGTGACTTTCAGTGTATGAACTTCGTTCATGTATAGGCAGACCATAATGAGATTGGTCTATCCCAAGAATTTGCTCTCTCAGCTTCTTGACTTGTCAAATCGGACCCACCATCCAGTACCTCTACCGATTGTGAAACACCTTTGCGATGGAATATTGATTGGTTTTCCTCGCACATTTTCTGCTAAGTATACCCTCTAACGTTAAGGGCTAGGGCAATGATCGAGTGGCCAAAGTCTCATATAACTCGCCTAGGCCTAGCGGTCACCGAAGGCCGCCATAGCCGATTATCTTCGACGAACAATGTTGTCAGATTTTCCCATGCAAACTTCGAGATCAGACTCAAGCCCTCTACAGTACTAACATCACTATGCGCTTCGTGGACGAAGCGGAATCAGAAAGGTTAGTTCAATTAAACGTCAAAATTATCACTGAAAAGTTGAGCTGAATTCGTCGAAATTTAAATGTAATCATTTTCGCTGCCACTTATAAAAGGCTCACAATTAAGGTCTTAGAGCGACTTACGTGAGATGAGTCACTACATCAGCGAAACAAAAAAAAAATTTGCTTAAATAGGCCTGAAGAGTGGGTGGACAGTATGTATGTTTTTCATCCATGTGCATTTCAACCACAGACAAAAGCAGGCAGCTTCCAACCTAGTCTAGGCAAACCACTGCAAATCCATGATGGCGTTGCCCTTGGTGTTAGCGGACACATTATGGCGCACGGTTCGGATTAGCCTGGGCCTTTGATGGACTGGTCATACGACTCCCCTCCTAATGAAGATTATGGACGAGTTTCCCCAAAGCAGCGCTTGTGGGCCTACTGGGGTGAAGGCATGGCGCATGACATGGGTAGCACTAGCCCACAAATTTAATTCACTTTGCGAATTTTCCTCTTCCACCGCTGGTTGCAGAATTAGGATTGTTATACCAGATTTTACCATCTCTCCATTAAGGAAGTGTTCGAAAATCAGGTGCTTCATGTTAAAGTAATGGCAGTCTCTTCTCTGTCTTTGTTGGACCCTCATTTGTTTTCAGCAGCGTGCTGGCAAGAAAAGAATTCTAAGGAGCATGGCTAGGAACAAGTGCGAAAAGTAACAAATAATTAAATCTACCGTTACTGGATTTTGCGATTCCGATATTGGCCGATATGTGGAGCCTATAGCTGATACGATATTTGCTGAAATTTCAGCATGAAACCATATTGAAGATTCAGCACAGCTATTTTTTTGCATTTTTATATAAATAAATTGCATTTATTTTTAATTCTCATTTAAAAAAAAAAACTTTCTGCATTTTCCTGATGTTCCTGTCATGGAATAATCTATTGAAATACTCCTGCAATATACTGGTCAACATGAAATCCTTCAAGAGGACAGACAGTGAATTGCTGAATGTCTTTTTCACTCTTGTGAAGTCCAGTATAAGGTCAGACTCATGAATCCATTGCAATAAGAATTTGATTAACAGGCTGTTTTGAAGCTAAAAAATAGACCTACTCCATCAATGTCCTTTTACAGTGTCGCACTTCCCCGTAGATCTCTGGCATGATTGTAGTTCAATAGTACTTATCTGATTTTAGAGAATACCTTGGTTGCAATTCAAGAATCAGCTTCTTAATCAGGATCACCATGTTGGGAGATCATGCTTTCTTCTAAGAGCCAACTCATTGGCTTTCATTGGCCTGGGATCAGAGGGGATCCACTTCTGCATGCTGAACAGATCATCCTGTGTTGACTGTTGCAGTCCTAGCGGTGACGGATCTGAAGCAGGTCCCGAGCCCAAATCGACTGTAGCACCTATCTTGCTTTCCACTTGATTGGCTTGCAGGCTGCTTTTGAATCAACGTATCTTCCTGCAAAGATGATTCCATAGACTTGAGGTATTCCTCGCTTTGGCGGGTGATGACCTTTGCACGACGATGAACGAATTTGTTGGAATCTTCACCCGCTCAAAAGAATTTCCACGTTTTGCTTTGACCTGGACAGGAAGGGCTTCTCGCTCGTGCATATTCAGTACACTGCAAGAGGTTCATCGAAAAGATGTGAGAGGAAATGTTTCCAAGTACCTCTGCCAAGTAGGTCTTCAAGGGAATGACCTTGTTACACCTGAAGGGAAGAATGTGAACGGAGAACACAAAGAGAGAGAAACTTCTCACTCATCTCAGCCATATTCGGAATTCGAGGTAGAACCTATCAAATAAAATCTTAGCCAATGCCTATCCCCTGGCTGACATCAAGTGTGATGTTATTAGGGATCTAGCAAATAAATTTCTGAAACTGGGCAAACCCCATCCATGGATGGATTCCCTCCTTCCCCCTCCTCCGGTCCAATTTCCCCCCGTTTTTCACCCATTTGAAATGACGAACAGCGATTTGTGCCTGAGACATTCTGCACCTGCTTACTTAGCGAATTGGAAAAGCAATCCGTAAAATTTTTATGAGTGCTTTTTCACTTTTTCTCCACGACTGAGGCTGAAACTGGCTGTCTTTCGAGCGCATCCGAATGCAAGGAAGAGTTATCAAGTCATCAGAAGAGATATACCCGACAAAAACGCGAAACGGCGTCGAGCGCGCGAACAAAGAAAATGAAACGAATAAAAAACTTTATGAAATGGGAGCAGAATTTAAACTCTAAATGATGAAAGTGCATTCGATATCTGAAAAGAATCTTACAATGAACTAAATTAATTTCGGAATTCATTCCAAATTTCACTGCACTGATATGCAACTGGAAATTCGTTAACCTGAACGTGATCCACACCTTTCATCTGAATCATCGTCCATCCGTTTTCATAAAAAAATTCAGTAGCGTCACATGTGCAGGACGCTTCCTTGACGTGACATCAGGATTGGACTGGCCCACCGGGATACTGTGAAATTTTCCGAAAAGTCACCTTCCCCCCTCCTGTTTTGGGGAAGGGGGCCCTTTGGTCTAGGGCCTTTGATCTTTTGGCCTTTGATATCTTTCTGCGTTCCCCAACCCCGGGGGAGAGGAGGAGGATGAAGGAGCAGAGAGCTATTATCATGAGAAGGGGTTGGGAGAAGGGGAGGTTTCAGGGGGTCTGAATCCCCCCTCCCCCTCTCCCCTGGTTGCGCTTCTGGGGGAAAGAAGTCACTCTGGCTGGTGGCAAACCCAGTTTTTTTTTTCCTATCTTTCGTAATGTGCACGTAAAAGTGGGTGACTTTCCTCTTTCAGTTAGAATTCCCGAAAAAGTGGATGACGAAAGGAAAAATCGTCCGTTCCCAATAAAATGGGGAAGAGATGTTTGGGTCTGACAAGCGTATTTCGCACTGTCTCTCGCAGTCTCTTCCTCCTGTGTTCAGCATAATAATATATACAAGTTTTCCTATCACTTTTCAGTGTCTCGCCTACTCGAACGGTTGGCCTGCTTTCCTAATCTTCACATACATCTGGAGTCCCGAGTTGATACGTGCTCGTTCGCAAATCTCAAAGTCAAACCACTGTCTCCTAAGCCTGGCACGAAACTTTTTAAAACCTGCATTTGAAAGTTTTATTGCGCAAGCATTGGAAATTCCATGGTTGAACGAGGGGGGATATTAGGACAAGCATTGACCTGTAAATAAACCTCGCTACGTTTTAACCGAAGAAAAGACTGCTTAAACGTAGGGTTAACAATACGCTCCGCTAGTCCCGCCCCCAAGACGCACGTGGCTAGCGTTAGGGGGTAAACAAACGACGCGCTCGGCTATCCTGCTCAATGTTCAGCTTTTATTCCAATGCATTCTCCTTCATTTCAATGAAATGAAAATCACCCCACCATTTCACTCGAGTCCCTCTGAATTATGGGAGTTTGAAGATTCACCGAACACCCAATTATTCTCACTATTTTTGTTGCTGAGGGACGTGGACTTGTGGGGAAGTATCACGGCATATCCACGCATTATCTGGATGGCCCTTACCACACGGACTCGACAGGAGGCGACCTTCCATGTCACTGCCAATGAAAATTCAATTCAGGAGTGAATTGAATTTTCCCCCTGAGATGAGGAGGAAGATTCCGTGTTTCGTGGTGTTCGCTACTCCACTCCTTTCCACCACCGTTCGATCACTGACGCTTCCAGTATAGCATTCACGAATGTTATGGTTCCATGGGGGGGGGGGGGGCAACACCATTCATCACTTTGAAGGTATTGCGTGACTTGTAGTTACTGTAAGTAATTGTGCTTCCAGGCTGAGTCTAGGAAAATAAATTTCGATCTCTGTACAATCGATTACCATTCGGCAGTTGGAAAAACTAGCAAAGGCATTGGGAAGTCGAGTCCTGTTCTTCTTCACACTGGGGACGCAATCCATCATTCCCACATAAAGGATCTCGTAGCGAGCATTGAAATATGTCATCAGTGGCGTAGGCAGAAAATCGGCAAGGATGGGGGGGGTTTGAGGCCAGGTAAAGCCACCCCCAAGATAGATAGAATATATTCCACCTACCTTGGACACCCCAACCCAACCCCTGCTTAGCTCCACCACCCGGAATTTATGCACATCAGGCACTGCCAATCGCAGTTTGACAGCTCAGGGAAAGTGGCATGCAAGTACGTTTTCTAGTATAACGCAAGGAATTCCGAAATATGAAGCGGAACGGAGATTTGCAGTGGCGCACATGTTGAATCACGCGCTCTAAGCAGGTTTGTTTTAGCCTCTAATAGCGTCCGCCAATCACATTCCATGAGGGGCGGAGCCGACTAGAGGAGCGTGTAGGCAGTAGGCCTAATATGTATGATATACTTTCGGACAATCATTGCCCAAATCTTACCATTATATCGAATATGTGCGAGAACAAGAACAAACAGGGAATGACCAGCAGTTCCTCGCCTCTTGATGTTGCCGCATTGGCCTGATCACTCGATCCAGGGATTCCATACGGGCGCAGAGAAGCTAGTCCTAGTCACTTTTTTGTTGTTGTGAAGGATAGACCATACAGAACTCTATTCTTGATATCGGAAAAAATCAGTATGCACGAAAGCGCCATTGTGAGTACTCGCCGATATGCACATATTAGTAGATTAGTATCGGAAACCGATATATCGGTCGATCTCTAGCAAGAAACAGTGTTATACATGCAACAATCCATTGGGTTGTATTGAACTCAGCCCGTGATAGTATTAAGCCTAAAAACAAGGTACTGCAACATGAGGAGCTAAGATATTGTTTCTTCATGTCATGCAGGCTTTAAGCCTGGAATGTTCTTCCCCTCCATATCCTCTAATATGCTCTTCATTTTCAGTGATATATTTTATTTAGAATTGAATGCATGGAAAAAGTTATTCAGCTTCCTAGCCATTGAAGTTAAAATGGCTAATGAGTCAATTTATGTTAGATTAGAGGAGGACTGTCAGTCTTTACCAATGGCAAGGAAGAGCCTAACAGAGCAGGGGTAGACCAAACACACCATATGAAAGAGGGGACGAAAGGAGAGGCAGGCATTTGCAAGAACTGGTTGTACTCTGCAAGCTCTGCCAAAGCAGCCTCTATTTTAAATATAATTCTAAACCCATGTTTCATGTTTTTTGCCCTTGAAAAAACTTTCAAAAACCCACACCATGTGCTTTTTGATACTTTTGGCATAAGAGTGTGAGAAAATAAACAATTTTTAAATGACAAGAATAAATGCCACATGCAAAAACAAGGATTCAAGTTTATTGGAATGATTCCTCAAGTAGAGATGAGGGGGTATGCCAAAAATTTTTCCTAGGGGTAAATAGTTTGTATTTTCAGCAAGGAAGGTGTGAAGAAAGGTATCAGCACTTCTGTCCATACAGGTACATACTTATTCTCACTAATTTGTGGTCTTGTGCTCCAGAAGACTGCAACTTCTACCCAGACCCATAATGTGCACTCACAAGTGGTTTCCATGTTCATTGAAAACCTATACCAAGAGGTGGACTTGGTGAGTGTGCAAAGTGCACAGAGACAGTTCATAAATGGAGCCATTTCAAGATTTGCTAATGCTGATTGAGGACCTTGACTCTTTGATTCGCGTAAGTTTCGCTTTTGAGTTTGTTTTAATCCTCAAATGTGGAACATAATTATTGAAGCTAATCCATATTGGCATATAATAGATTTACAGAATACAGGAAGCATAGGGCCCATTTTGCGTTCAAGTTGTGCATAGTGTCTCTGAGCATTATGAACTAGCTGGCTGAAAAGGACAATGCAACAAGCATTCTAATGCAAAAAATTTTCTGTGAGCATTAAACAGGGTTACTCTTGCTGTCTGAGCCTATGTATTAATTGGTTTCAAAAGAAAAGGAAATAGATCATATGAGCCTAATTTTTTTTCTTTGAAAGTTATATGCTCTATCTACAGGATCTAAAGTGGGTCACAGATGTAGGCATACAGGAGTATGCATACTAAAATAAAAAAAAGGATGAATAAATTGGAGTTCGGTGATCTTGATGATCACATGTGCACAAGCTTGTCCTAATATACCATGCAATCACAGTTTCAAGGGTGGGATGAATAATCACAGAAAAACTTGCCAAAAAACTTCAATTTCAAAAGCAGCTATGGGCATAATCTAATTGCCCAAAATGGTCACCTAGAATCATTTTAATTATATAACAGCAGGAGAATTCCTCAAGATGTGTGGAAAAATCAAGCAAAGTTTCAAGGTCATGGAATGAGGCAATGCAAAGAAAACTTGGTAATGCCCAAGGAATGGGGGAAAAGGGTGATACCATTGAAGAAAGCAGTTTCTTCTTCTCTTTTCCTCCAGCCACTTCCCTGTTGTGCATTCTGTTGAGAGTCTAACTGCAAGGCAGTGCCAAGATGAAATCTCTGAAGGCAATGGCAACAAGTTGTTAGAGTGTTTGATATAGGCTAATGGGAATGCATGCATCTGCATCATGCATCAGGCTGATGCTTGCAGGAGGATTTACTATATGTACTGTATACTCAAAGGACATAATGAACTCTGAAATGTTTTGTGACCAGATCACATGAGGCATCATTGAATTCATTTCTATAAGATAATTAATTAACCACATTTGTAGTCATAAAGTCATGTGGAGTCATGCTATGGGGACTTAGGTCAAAGGTCAAGTGACTGGTTCAAATGGAAAAAGTTGGATTTCAAAAAAGCTGAGTTTTAACAAAATTGTGAGGAGACAGGGTCAATGGAAATGCCTCATTCCCATAATTTTAGCTGAGAAATTTTATATTAAAATTCTTTCCTTTCCCTTTAAATCAAAATAATGGTAACATACTAGGTGAGGCATAAAAAATGTACTGCTCCTTCAAATTCTCTAACATTTATAATGCAACAGGTATCTCAACAAAGTTTTCTTTTAGAATTATGACTATCCTCTAATAATTTTTTTCCTGCTGTCATATACTTATAAATAGCTCAAAATCTAGGCTTACAAGCCATAATCATGCCATCTTCAGGGTGAAGCACAAGTGACTGAAATGGTATACTATAGCTGGATCTTTGTATTATCTACCAGGAGAGGGAGGAGCAGAGGGTAAAAATGGAAATTCTAGCCAAAGAACTTGAGTTCATGAAGTGCAAGGTGAGAGAAGATGATGTCCTCATTAAGGAGTTGCAATCAAGTGCAGCATGTTCTCAGGAGATGGTGGCTGAACTTACAAATACTCTGCATTTCTTCAGTCCATTGGCAGGTGAGCTGGCACCATATATTGGCATGTTTCACAAGTAGAAGGTGACAGTCCAAGGTGCCAATTGTAAAGTTCTTATGTATTGTGTTATAATTCCATAGACATTTAACAGATGCAGACCATGAAGTTTTGGTCTTGTTGACAAAGACCTACATAATAAAGGGAGGGCTTTCAGAAATTATTTGATAGGCACTGTACTCAGCATGCAAATTGGTTTGATTCACACCAAACCTAAACATGTTGCAACTAGTACATCTGTGGAAGAGATCCCAATACCCTCATGATTCTGTGGATGAAAGAAAACCCATCCATACTCAATTTAGGGTTCAACCTGTGTCCCTCAGATGTTTCTTGAAAGGCCAGCAAATGCCCCAGAAGTGAAACCTTTAATTGATTTGAATCTTGTGTCCCATTCCAACAGCTACTTTAATTTTGTGGAAGTGAATATAATTAAAGCTTCCCTCATTGAATGTGTTTCACATTTTTATGATTTTTGAAAGATAAACCCAAACATATTCATTATAATGCATTCATATCTAATGTAAAATAAATCCTCTATTAGTAAAAGAACTTCTCACCTTTACTGGAGCTCTTGAAAAAGGCTTGATAGCCTCTAAGTATTGACAGTTCTTATGATTCATTTGTTTCAGTGGAAAATGAGAAACTGCGAAAACAACAGGAAGATGATAAAAACAAGGCTACTACCAGGGAAACAGTGAGTGTGACTCCTTCCTGTAAGAAATGCATAAAATGGTATTTGGTGAATGAACAGAGACCAAATGCATAAATGCATGATGTGAGATACTATAAATTTGTTGCTTTACATGTGGTGTACAAGTGCATACTCTGGTGTTTCATTACAGTCCTTATACCCATTGGAAGAAGTCATTCTTTAGGTCTGTAGGTTATCTTCTCTCTTGCATTTGCACAATCTTTCTCCCTCATATATAACATTTTTAATACTAGTCATATTATTGCCTTTACCATGACTGCTTTGGTAAATGCTCCTGCTTTGTTTAAAGCACCCTATCTAGCATCATGGAATCATTTTTAATTGAGAAGGAAGCATTGCAAAAAGAATTTCTATGATATCTGCTCCATTTCAGGAACTGATGGGTGAAATGCTGACTCTCAGGTCAGCTCTTGATAGGGAAAAATTAGAGTTTAACAACAGACTGCAGGAAGTCATTGATGGACATTTGGTTGAAGGTAAGCCTCTCAAAAATGAAACTTGCTGTGACCATATATTCCTATTCTCTCTCTTTTCATGCAGAAGCTAGTCATAATTTTTTTTACTTTACAGATGGCCAATCTCTTAAATTGACAGACCAAGGAATGTTGGGAATCACCTTAAAGTACAGAGCTTTGCAACCATAGATATCAAAGAAGCTTGATTCATTGGGGTGATTTCTTTTTTGAAGGAAGAACACTCACTCCTTCAAATCTGCTTAATGAGAAACAGTTTTGTGATTGACATGAAGGGTCTGAAACTGTGTCTGATATCTGACAGGTGACAGACTATCAAATTGTCATGCTATAAGTCATGGCTGTTGTGCTTTAAACTTGGTTCAAGGACAAGTTCTTACCATCTTGACATCTCATCATTAGATGTTCTTACAATCAAACTGTTTACACTATCACTCCAGAAATTTAGAGATCTTTTCCTTGCTTTGGGTTAGAAAATGTCACCTAGTCTGAGCAATTGTAGATGAATTCATGAGAGTAGTTTAGATGCTGGCATTCTCCTGCCATATGCATTGTCTACCTCTGTCTTCATGCTTCCCATGGACTCCTATTAGTTGCAGGTGCACTGAAAAATTTAGGTACTACAGAGGAATTTTAGAAATGGTATCCAAAATTGGTGCACATTGCACTTTTGTGCAATTTATGTGGAATTTTACCCTTCCTAGGTGAAAGAGCCATGTGAATTCTATTACCCCTTTCAAATTCCTTTTCTTTTTCAGTGGCAGCATTGAAAGATGGATTGGCTCAAGAGATGACCAAACAAGAGGCAAAATTTAAGGCTTTTATGAAGGAGAAAGAAGAGGAAGTATGTGCTATGAAGAGGCAATTGCAGGAGAAACTTTCTGGTCTTGAGAAACAATTTGCATTGGGTGAAAGGAAGGTATGTAGACATAGTCTTCATAGAAAAGGTAGGTACAGCTTACCCAATATGCAAGGAGTTGAATTTTTTCTGAAAGAGCTGTTAAAGACTGTATTTTCCCCCTCCATATAGAAGAAATGAAATTGGAAATATGGAAACATAATGGCCATGGTCATGAAATAAGCTCAAATCAGTGAAGCATGGAAAACACTGTTATCAGAAATTCAGTGCCATTTATGAGATAGGAGATAGTACAACAAAGTTTATTTGACAATTGCTTCTCTACATTCTCAAACCACCCTAAAATGTTGGGTATCTTTCCAGTCGTTTTACTGCAGGAGAAATTTTACAATTACAACTCAAATTTTATTTTTACAAGAAGAAAAGTATTGAGAAGACTAGAATGTGGTTGGTGCACATTCCACACAAGTTTCAGACCATTGCTCCTCAGACCGTCCATGGCGATGGTACTCTCCATGGAAGATGAAATAGTCTTTAAAGTCTGTTATTTCATGTAAGGATGGGGTAGGAAAAAAATCGTATTAACATTTTCTGTTAAAGGATAGAAGAAATATACTGCAAACAGACTCACAAGCTGGCAAAAAAACTGGTTCACCTGAGAGGGAAACAGGGTGCTTAAACTGGAGAGAATAGTGGCTTATGTAGAAGAAATGATTGGTTCTCAAAATGACGATCCAAGGACGTGAAAGTCCCAACTGTAATATGCCAGATATGTAGGTGTGAGTAAGAGATATCTGTTCAGCAGATTCTGAAGAACAGGGAGGAAAAAAAAATCTTCAAATGAATTGTCACTCCGAGTCAGCAGTGCAGATCTAAAGGTCAGTGTCAAAATGTGAACACTATAATAAAATTTTAGTTCCTCTTGTAAAACTCCTGGTGGGGCAAAATAGCTGGGGATAAGCAAATGACAAATTTAACATTTGTAGAGGATAGATGAAAAAAATTTTTATTAGTTGCTGTCTCAAAAATCAAAGAATTTCAAAGAACAACATGTTTTTCATGGTACATCTGATATATTCACTTGAGAAGCTAAGAGAAAATCATGAATAGCTTACGTTGCTTCGATTGCCCTGAGAACAGCATAAATTGAGCTCTTATCCCAATAGATCTGTCGCCTATTGGGACTGCCTGCCATCTAAACAGAAGCTGCACCAACTACTGATATTTTGGTATATAATTCTAATGTAGATATACTACCATTTTGTGCAATAGCCAGAGCTGTTGTGCTTATGGAAGAGAGGGGTGTGCTTCAGGAGGGGGGAAACATTCCCGAAAATGAAAATATGGGTATACTAGCGAAAAACTCCTCGGAGGCTTGCCCCAGTTTCTATTCCATCCACCAAATACAAGTTCTGTAGAGAAATTACTTTGAAAGGAGAGGTGATTAATCTGCCTCTGAAGAAGAGTATTTCGTGCAAATAGTCTTCCTCTCTCTGAAAACAGTGACGTAAGTTAGTGGCTTGTTACTGAGATCACGTTTGCTACATGAACAAGCAAAATGTTGAAACTATGTTACCATCTGCACCAGTCTCCCACTTCATAGGAGTGGCTAATTGAATGGACCTACCTGTACCTAACCCCTGAAAGCAATGGGAATCGATGGATGCTCATGGTTGCATAGGGTATGCCAAACCGCATGGGAATCGGGGACGGCAGCAATGGGTTGGCAGGCCGGTCTGGTGGTTCCTCTTTTTAACCCTCTCACGGCCCTATTCCAAAGCAATTTGCCTCCAGTGAGGCTCCCAAAGAGAGTCCTCCGATCCAAAATGACTGGCTGAAAACCAGTCGGTTGGCTTCGCCCAAGGTGGACGGGCTACATCACGAATCTTTGCCTCGAGATGTTCGGTATCACCTGCTGAGCCCGAGTCTGTCGCCCAGGAGCAGGACCGAACACCGGAAGATGCTCCTGGACCGACTCGAGCCGCGACCCCATTAAGTCGGGATAATGGTTTTGCAAACGTATGTATATTTGAGTGTACTCCCACCTTAAGAAGGATGATGTGTCGATTCAGAATTCACTTTGCAACGACAAAGGAAATTTTCCGTTGAAGAATGAAGCTAGGGCAGTTGAGCAATTTAGGGCTAGACACTCACCAGTGGTTGCCATCGAACCAAACAAGACAGCTCCGGCCATGAAAATGGACCCAAATGCATATGTTCTCCATATATAGGGTAGTTTGGGACTTTTATCACGGACCTTCACAGCCTCTTGTCTAATCATCTGCAAATTTAAGTCACCAGTGTCGCATGAGATTATTGGCTCATGGACAGACATGGATCATCTACATCTTTTTTTTTATCCTTGCTGAGCCAATCGCAATATATCTTTTAAAATCCCATCGTAGTCCAGAGATGATCCAAAAGTATGCGAAGAGATTTGATATTCTCAAAACTACATGAGAGATAGATACTGTAGTCGCAAAATATTACACACCCCTTAGTCAATATCATCATTACTTTCCCACAAAATCGCCTTCGACAGCAATATACTTTTACCATCTGGGCACAAGTTTATTCATGCCCTCCCGAAAAAGTTATGCTGGAGTGGGCCGAACCCATCGCATTATAGTTATTTTCACGTCTTCGATGGTGTCAGCGATGCCCACGCAGATCATGCTTCAATATAACTAAACAACATTGTTTACAAAATATGACACTTCGTATAATAGCTTTGAAGAAAATTAAATTTGTCCGGATACTTTTGAACCATCCCTCATAGAAATTTTTTGTTTCATAATGGCCCTCGTGTAGATCTAGCCATCTTGGTCTCATTTTGCAGAGTTTGGAACAAGTGTCAGCTATGGAAGCTATCATTGAGAGACTCAATCATGACTTACAAAAAGCCGAAGAGAAGTATGCAAAGCTGGAAGAGGTAAGTATCCCTAGACACAAAAGTGCATTTATAGTACAATATAATACAATATTACTGAATAAATCGTGCTTAAGTGGCATTCCACCCCACTCTTCACACTCGTGCTCAGGATTCTCAAGTTTTTGTCTCTTCCTGCTGCACACATCAGCGTGAATAAAATTGTCAAGTTCTCAAAATGAAGTAAAAATATTTTAGACTTGCAGAATCATTTTTGGAATGCAAAGTAAAACCTGCATCTCTTGACTACTCTGGACAGAAACTAACGACTCCTAAACAAGAGAGGAAGTTTTGGTCCAGTTCTGAAAGAGCCAGCTTAAAAAGTTTGAGTCGACCAAACTACACGACAAAAAAGGGAGGTACTTGAATTTAGAAACAGGGAAGAGAGGGGAAAGGGGCCCTTGGGATCTGAAAGAATCGAGGATCCTCATCAGGACATATAATCAAATATATCACATATAATCAGAACATAATCTCGAAACCCCAATGAATCACGCTACCGGTGGTTTCTTTCTCGTTCTGCGTAACTCAAGCAAGGTGAAAGCTTTTAGCAGCCTACTGGGGTGTAGAATAGTCTGCAGATGGCCACGTGTAGGAATAAGGTTCCTCTCACAAGAGGTAACTATGGAATCGCTATCTCAGCGCATGCCGATCGTAGTCCGCTGACTTCTTGGGCTGGAGCATGGGCGTGTCTTTTTTGCTGGCGGCTCAGCTAGCTCTGCTGAGACCCCCAGCATCCGATGATGTCATTTTAAGGCTTAGCTGCTCAGCGTTCTCAAAGTTCGCTATGTTCTGCTCGCAGCTGCTTGCCCAATAGTGACGTAATTCAATGGCGTAGTCGTGCCTGGCCAAGGCGTCTTTTTCGCCAGCAGGTGCTAGCGGCTGGAGAAAAAGACGCACCCCATGTCGACAACACATATACACACAGCAAAAAAGCCTCATGTTTTTTACACATCGAGGAAAAGCTGTAAGGATAGCCATAAAAAGGAAAAATCAACAACAGGGCTGGATGTGAAGAAATCAGGCTTCCAATTTTATCTCAGCTTCTGTCATGCTGAAATTCACTACTCCCTCGTCATTATGAATCTCCTATGATGGTCATTACTGGAACACCTGTTATCTCTTTTTAATTTGCATTGATTCCCCATCAGGGTGGTTGTCAAACTTTTCAAGAATGACGTTTTTCCATTACTCCACTGCTACTCCACATTGTATTATACTAATGTAAAAACTGTTTTAATAATTTCTAAAACCAGACTACATTCTCACCATTGTCAATGAATCTCCATAATTAACAGGCTTCTTTAAAATCAAATTTATCAATATATGTCCTATATTTTAATACATGTAAACCTGCTAAACAGAGCTTAAGGAGTATAGGGTGGTTTTTAAAAAAAACGCTCTACCGGGCGTTTAAGGCAATTTAGGGCATTAGGGCTTTTTTTTTAACCACCCTATATATCCGAGGAATAGATTGCACTGAAAATGAGAGCCTCTGACTTTCAGATACTCAGATATGTGTTTCTGCTATAATATTCAAAAGATAATTTTTCACTAGAAAAGTTGGCATTCATTGTGTGAAGCCTCAACAAATTTCATATCATAATTCAAAAGATTCTAACTCTGCAAACCTGTCTGATAAAGAGTCAAAATATACTACGCGTGGTTGAATGGAGCTGCAAGAATAAAGCAGCCAGAGCGGAACTCAAATTACATATGCTGCTCTTGCTTCTAATTCCACCCCAGAGAGGCACATGTTTAATTTATAAGCAGTGAGTGCTTCGGATGCACAGGATCCCCACTTCTCCCTTGGATGGAAATTTAGCCCCTTCCGGATTAGTGCGTTCCTTTCCATGACGTAGTTGGCACTGCTTGTATATTGAACATTTATCCTGTACCTGCTAGGTGTGGAATAATAAGTTTTTACCCATCCAATGATTGAAAATTGCAATAGCCAAGTCCCTTTCCTTTTTACTTTTGAGTAAAGCACAAATTTTGAAGTGAGAAAGTCACAGTTCCAAATTGACATTGCAAAGGGAAATGCTAAGGGGCTTCGACTAAATGCAGCTGTAGTCGATGAAACGAGTGATGACAGGCAGAGGACGGAACCTAATGCCGCGTTGAAACATGCGGATCGCCTATGTTAACCTCGAGAAGATTCCCTTTTATTATTATCGTCTTCGTCTTGGGCGGTAATTGGTGAAAATGACAACTGAATGCAGGTAAGCAATAACATGCAGTAGTGAAGGCAAGTTTTTTTCCGATACTTTTGACTGTACCCGTTCCTGGCTACTCTTTGCTAGCAAGTACGTAATCACCCAGAATGAGGCCTTCAAAAGTCACGGGTTTCTCTCATCCATATTCCCCCATCAGGAAAAAGCAAAAGCTGCTTTGGACTATGAATTCCGAATAAGGAGAATGAATCTCGAGATGGAGAGAGCCTCAGTCCAGCACAAGACGATGAACGCCACAAGCGCTCCCACCATCTTCAAACCTCGGGCTCCTTCTTCAGGACTGAGACCGAACGTCGCTCCAAGAGGTGAGCGCAAAGTCTCATTCAATCTTTCAGAGCATGAGGCAGGTATGCAAGGAAAATCATAACGGAAAATCAGAAAAGTTGACCGTGGATTTTCATGAAAGTCCTCCTCACCCCCTCGGTTTAGGGTGCTGTTAAAAAAATTAATAAATAAACTTATGAATTAGCTTAATTTTGACCTTAGGTAGCAAGCAGAGACTTTGGAAATGTTTTATCCACATTGCAGGTACAAATAATTGACAGTTTTAGAGAATTTTCCCTTGAATTACTTCTGGGATAACATCATTTCATGCACTTTTGCACGATGTCTAGAGCCTTAAATTCCCACTAAAGTCTCGACTCGGACTCCTTTCTAATGAAAGGAAACCATGACCTCAGGTCTGATTCCATCCACTATCCACTTTTGAGCTCACTCAGTAATCTCGTATGCGATTGAAATCGTCCGAGTTAATCTGGCAGGAACCGATTCTCATGCAGTTTTCTTCAAGTTTTCCCGAAATGCCCTTTTATTATCCCTGGCGATTTTAAAATTGATTGCGGGTTTTGTCACCCATAATCGAGGCTCGGGGAAGAGCAAGAGAGGGCACGGAGCTCGTAACGTGAAGCCGGGCGGCCACCACCCGCTGGAGTCCCGGAAGCAACCAGACGAGTCGAAGGGACGGGATGGCCAGAGCCGTGCAGCGGAGACGGGGCGACAGCTGTACGTCCAGCCGCAGACGCTCTTAGAGCCTGATGACGAGATGTCCTGAGAAGTTCCTCGGGAGGTCCCGTCGGTTTTATGGGCGTGTTTCGTGGGGGAGGGGTCGTTCTTACTTTAGCACATCTACTAAAATGTTAGTTTTGAAAGAAAACATATTCCCAAGAGTAAAACCCTTTGGATTTGACCATTGTAGCTTCTCGTTTGTGATCCTGTTCCCGGTAGTCACGTTACTCTACTAACTAGAGTGGCTTTTTTAGTTCCATAGATTGCCTCTTTGATTTTTTTCTCTCCTCTGCCCTGAATTAATGTAATTTCCTATTTCCCCGGGATCATGAACTTCCTGGACGTTTTACCAGTTCATGCGAACCAATTGTCATCTATGCCGCCATCAGTCCCGAATAAAGAATCGAATTGTGGCTACTCTGAGAGTGCGATCCTGTCAAGTACTGTCAGGACTGACAATGAGAATCCTCTCATTATCACTTCTTTCCGTAATGAGTTGCGTCGCAGACGTGCATCGCCTGTCCTGTCCAAACTAAAATAGAATACCGTTATAGACTTCTTACGTTGTGGCTCACGAATGAAGGGGGAAGAAATTCAAGCGCTATCACGCTCTCAGCTTACTTTTTTCTTTCCATGTTTAAAGCTTACAAAGGCATACCCTCTCGATGATGCGAATTTCAGCCTCTGCACTCGATTTGAAAAGCGAATACTTCGACGCGCGGAACGGCAACCTTCGGTTCCACTTTTTGGTGGCATTCCCGCCTTTAATTCTGATCGAGCTAAGCCCCAGGTAACTCACGTATGTGGTGACAACGTTGTTACAACATCTAAATGTCATTTTATAATGGTCACATCATCTCACAACGTCGTGAAAACATTTCCCTTCTGGCGTAACAACATTGTGACGACATTAAGTGAGAAGTGATTATTGTGGCAGAATGGAATGTAAATGATAATACTCACACACACCCTTACAATAATACTTGCAGCTGCCTGCTGTGATACTGCTGGCAAGTGCGCAGCCGCATGACGAGTAATTACTCGAAGCAACACTGAAAGGGTCAATCATCTCGTGATATAAACCTTACTCACTTTTCTCTCTCACTCTCTTTTACCTTCTTTTAATAAATCAGTGCTTGGAAGGCGCTAACGGCCATGGAGTGAATTGGGACATTTTGCCATGCTTCCATCGACCCGAATGCAAGGAGTACATGGGATCACCTTCCGCCGTCTGACTCACCTAAACGGGTCTATCCAGGAATTCAAAAACTTTTCCCAAAGGTTTACGTGGGGAAAGACCGGGTACCGAAATAAAAATATAGGGAACTCATTTTCGGTACATGAAAGAGAGATTCGTTTGAGCGGCGTTGAGATGCCATCTGGCGCCGATTGGATGAACCTATTAGATGGTGAGGGTATTACTTTGCAAACATTGTCAAAACGTTGTCAACGCCAGAAAGAATTCGTTGTCACAACGTTATAGGAAAATTTTGCTACAGCATCATATGAAAGGACATTCAAATGTAGCAATGTTTTCTACAATGTAGCCACAACATTCCATATGTTGTGGGAATAAAAATATATTCAGGGGCTCCCAAAATGTTACAGCACCACATTTCTTGTGAATTTATAAGCATGTTTTTTTTTCTACGACATTTATTTATTTGTCTAATGTTGCGGCGATAAAAGCATTGTCATAACGTCAGTGTTACCTGGGAGCTAATTACAGCGAACTCCACCAAACGTCAGAACAGTGCCACAGCGAGGGGGGCCGAAGCCCCCAAAACTGGCCGAAATGCATCCGCCACCGCTCGAAGAGGGAACATTGACCTTGCTGGATTCGGGAAGGGTCAGACAGTGAAGGGAGCGAAACTCCTCCGGAATAATACGTAGTCTGTCTAAAATGACAAAATGAGGCGTTCCTCGTATTTTCCCACGGAAATCTCGTGTGGTAGGTGTCGCGAGTTTTCTCAGCCGATCGAATCGAACACGAGGTGAAAACCGAATGCAGCGAAAATGAATCGACGTCGAGGATGTCCCCTCACGTTATTCTCTATTGATATGCAGTTGACATTCTCAGTGAACCTTTGAAAAAAAAAAAGAAGGAAAAAATGGGACTTCCCTGGATGAAGAAAGCTGAATCCAGACAGAGCCAGAGAACACGAGAGAAACCTGTCCGCGTGGTAGTCAATCTGGCCGAGTTCGCTGTTGCTGACGGAGGTAGGACATGACGTCACGGAGGAGCCGGAGCTGACTGGATCTGAGGGGAGAGTCACTGGCAATTTGGACTGTCGCGGGCTGTGACGTCATGGGAGAGGCGGAGCCTGGAGGGTGAGGTCCCACCCGATTGGGCGGTCGCCTCCGGGCGACTGGATCACCTTTTGCATTGGCTTCGCAGATGTTCCTTATTGAAAGTTGGCAGTTGGAGGGATGGACTCTGTCCTTTAACTTGGTGAAGCGGACTGCAGTCTGCCCTCGCTTGGCGGATATCTCCCTTGTAGGATACGGAGCCATCCTATGTTGTCGGGGACATGTTCTTCCGGCCTTTAAAGGGTGGCGCATAACGCGACCGTCACGCTTTTTATGAACTCCCGTTCCCGATGCGGTTTCCTCAATTTTCTGCTGTTGTGCGTTGAAAGCCGATCCGCCTGCGGGTCTGCAGCACGACCCTTCGGACCGTGCTTCTCAAAGGACACATCGAAGGACTTCGTCACGCTTGGACACGGTGGAGGACTTCATTCACTTGGGTTTGCGCAGACGGATGGGATTCCCCTTTTTTTCTCAAGCCACAGATACAAGATTGAGTTTTCCGTTCGTCAAAGATGAATTGGGCGAAGAATCGTCCAGGAAGTTGAAATTTAGAAGCGAGCCATCACGATTCGAATGCCGGGGTGAGACGAATCACACGATGTCGATCTCGGCCCCGGTTGCACCCTTGCATCGCGTGTCTCGCGATCCCTCGACCTCAAGCCTTACTCCGAAGAAAAAAACGAAAACGTTTAACCCCTTGAGCGTCTCCGAAACCTCGTCCGGCAGTCTCCTCGGTAGCCACACTCGAAAGCGCCGGTGAACCGTCGAGAGCGAGCAAGGAACCCTGCCCCACGAACGTAGTTGCTAGGCGCACGGCACAGGAGTTCCCACGCACAATGAACGTCCCCGGGCAAGGACGACCCGCCACGCACCGTCTGTCTCGGCCCCCAAGCGGGAAAGACGAGGTGAACCGGTCTCACCACCCACCACCCTCCATCCTCCACCCTCCCCCACCCCGAGCAACATGGACAAAGAGCAGGACTCGAATGGAAAGCCAGTCTCAGACGGGATGTCGTGCGGGTCCCAACGGGTCCCGGTCTTCGAAAGCCGAAGACGATGTGAAGCGTGGATCGAGGTCGTTCCAGGTCGTCCCGGGATCTTCTCCTCTGCTTCTCAAACCTACGGGCGAGTTTTTCCTTTCTTTCGGTGGCCTCACCTCACTCGAGTAAGTCTGGATCGGCGGACAGTTCACTGGCTGCTTTCCGGCGAATCCAACGGATGCGATTTCATGGTTTCGCCGGGGGGGACTGCACGTTCTCCAGATTCCCTCAATTCTTTCGACCAGTTGAACAAAATTCCTTTCATGGAACTGAGTGTTCGGAGTACTTAACGCTAAATCGTTAAGTACTCCGATTTTGCGATTTGCTCAGAAGCGATGGCAGGCGGATCTCAGATAGAATTTTATCCACAGAAGATCCGATCAGATTAGGCAAAATGAGTTCGTTTTTATGTAAATTTGAGTCACGTCCACAAGTTAAGAAGAGAACAAATAAAAGATAGCATTTTTTACCATATGGATTCGATTAGATTCGTAGAGAATTCTTATCGATCTGATGTCACCAAATGATCGGCAATTCGTGATTAATTTATCTTGGATTGCAAGTTGGATATCGAAGTATTGCTCAACCACAATCAATGCAACGAGATCCTCATTCAGACTTTTGACCTTCAAAACCTTCTGAAAATAATTGTCAATTGGCATGGACGCACGCTGAAGAGAATTTCTTTGGTATCTCGAAATAATAAATGTGCGCATTTCCAAATAATTTTTTATATGTTCTACTATATTTCCTCCTGTTGTATGCCAAGTGAATGCTGTTTGTGAAGGGTTCTAGGGACTCTTTCCGGATTTGAACAATAGAGAAATATCTTTGACATCATAAGGGTTAAATGCCACAGATGAAGTGTCAGTCAGAGTGAAACTTATGGCATTTTTGCATTTTGTGGAGAAATTCGAATTTCCTTACTTTCCGACTTTTCCTCGCATATAGTTTTCGACCTCATTGGAGTAAAAATTTTAAGATTGATATATCACGAATGATCGAGGTGGTCCCCATTCTTCCCTGGATGGGGGTGCAACTGCTATTGCTGAAAAACCGAGGAAAGTATCATTCAGTCCGGGCTATACGTCCTTTCGTTTCCTCGCTATGCATCTCCAACGGGTGAGTGGCAGAATACGGACACGGCTGAAAACCAGAATGTTCTCTTTATTGCATGCAGAAGGACGGCGAGAGATCAAATTTGCAAGCAATGGCATTTGCTTGGCACTTCGGGATATCCTGTTTGACATTTGAGTATTGCAAGGAAAAAAAAAAATCTGTCATCGATGCACAAAACAATAACAAAATGAGAACTGCACCCGGCAGCACCAGATCCCGTCCTCGACTACCTCGCCGAGTACTCCGAGTACCGAGATTCCAGGGGTTTCTTGTACAATTCGAAAGCACTGCCTCTGTTCTCCCGATGGTCCAGAGGGGCCGGTTCCTTCGGCGGGACGACGTTCAGGTAGTACCCCGTCGAGGGCTTCCGGTACCCGTTCCGGTTTCGCCCGAGGCTGTCGCAGTTTCTATCGAGACTGCTGCCGTGCCCCGAGTCGAATCCGTTCGTGTCCTCGTCTTGGATGTGGGTGCTGAAACCCCTCTTGCTCCTGTGGATGTCTTCGTCCTGAGGCCAGTAGTCGTCCACCTTGGTGAGGAGGGGGCGGTAATTCTTCGGTTTTGGAGGGGGGATCGGCTTGTATCCGGTCGATATACCCTTCGGAGGGGGGATCGGCTTGTAATCCGGGGCTCTGATTCAGTAAAAAAAAAAAACGTAATTGCATGCATCCACCCACCGAAATCGATTACCGATGCTTCACCCCTTCCTTGCGACTGACCTGATTTTTCGCGGGGAGTCGCACTTGCTCCTCTCGATGGTCGACGTCTTGATGGGCTGAACCGAAGGGGGAAGGGCGTGCAGAGATGGCACCTGGCCGCCAGGTATTCCAGATCCACTTCTCATGTCATCTGTATCGTCATACTTGAAGTATGATCCATACAAGGGTCCAGGAGCTTCTTCGCATGATGGCTACGGAAAGAAATGGGAATGTGTATTGCACTCGAAAGGGAGTCGGCATCAGCACTCTCTTGAAATTCACACAGACAAAAACTCCGTCTGACCATAAGTACACCAAATTGCATCAGGAAAGACTGATAGGGAAGCCACTGTGTTTCTAAGGACAATGCCTACAGAGCAGACGCAAGAAGGAATGTCATGTCCATTTGAATGCAGACGCTTTTACCTTCTTTCCATCCCTTTCGATTCGTAGTCAGTTAAACTCTTACGTAAAAAGTAAATCGGACATCCATCCAACTCACGTTAGTGAACCCACATTTAAACCTGCCCAATCAGCATACTCAAAAGCACTGTCTCTGTTTTCCGGATGGTCTAGAGGTGCCGGTTCCTCCGGCAGGACGACGTTCAGGAAGTACCCCGTTGGGGGCTTCCGGTACTCGTTCCGGTTTCGCCCGAGGCTGTCGCAGTTTCTATCGAGACTGCTGCCGTGTCAAGAGTCGAAGCCGTTCCAGTCACATCAACACTTTACATAAAAAGTGAATCACTCAACCAACTCAGGTTACTGAACTCACTTTTAAACTTGCTCAAGCAGTATATTTACTTTGCTTGAAAGCTAGTAATGTAAAGACTTCCAGAAAAAAATATCTTTGAATTCAACTAGGAGCAGACAATATATCAAGGTTCAATGATGGGATCTATTGCGGTGAACGAAGTATTGCCCAACTACATTCACTGCCAAGAGATTGGGACGATAGAGGTGTGGTGGAACCCCCAAGAGCATTTTGTATTATTCAAGATACTGGAGTAGATTTCCACATCATTTGTGATGTTTTATTATCATATTCCTCCCACTGTATGACAAATGTATGCTCTGTTTAAAAAAGATTTCTGGGAATTTTTTTGGATTTGGACATTAGAAAAATACTTTTGGCCTCAAAGGGGTTAAATGCCAGAGATGAGGTGTCAGTTACTCATATAATGTAATTTCCATATCAACATCCAAAAGCCTCTTTCCAAATTTTTGGATTCATGTCTGCCAACAAATTCCAAAAAGCAGTCACACTCGAAGGCAGCATTGGAGTGTGGCTCCCTTTTGACTTAGAATGGCAGATGTCCAATGACACCCTCTAAAGTTCCAAATGGTGAGCCTTACTACAATTTTTTCTTTGTAAGGGAAAACTTTCCTTTTTTTTGCTAAATTGACCACAAAATATTGCATCATATTGACTGCCTTGTCAATCAATGGGTGAATGTTTCTATGAAAATGCCAGTTATAATATACAGGTATTCCAATGCATACCCACAAAAATAAGAGCTACAATCTCACCGGATGTTTGTGAGCTGGAGGAGAACGTGAAAGGACAGGAGAGTGAGTCAAAAGAGGTGATGGGCCCAATCTAGAAGGTGGGAGTCCACTGGGATGGGATGGGAATAATCTCTCTCTGGCGGACATGTGGTTCCGCTTCGGTTTGTTCCCTCTGTCTATCGATGGAGGAGGGACACCCACCACCCTCTCCTTAGGGTGGACATGCACGTAAGGGTTTGGGTAAGGAGGGGAATCTGAAGAATTAGGTGCTGGGTGATTTGATTGAACCATAGTGGATGGGGAAAAGCCGTATTTGCTGTCTCCTCCTTGTGAGCTTCGTTTCCCACCTGGGGATATTTCATATCCCTAGAAAGAACCACAAGGTTTTATTTGTCAATATTTGTCACTGAATACTTTAAATATAATACAATTTCCACAGTATGATACTATTTTTGATGCCCACTAATCACATCTAGAGACATATCCAAGAGAGTACAGGGATCTGGATTCCTGAAATGGGTCAAGATCTCCTGCAAAAATAGAATGATCCCATACATCCCCATCCTGCTCAGATAGTCAGCAGGCACACATTGCTGGATGATGCCCTGATTTCCACCAAAATGAATTCCAAGAAGAGTCCCTGGCCATACCATTTTTGTGATCCACACTCTCCTGGCTCTCTTATATCATTTACCAAAGCAGAATTGCAGTCTTACTTGTAAAGGAAACAAACCTGGTCCGGAGAAGAGTATGGCGGTGGCGGGTGAGACGAATCGAGAGGATTTGGAGCAATGCTTGGGTCGGAGGAAGCACGATGCAGAGACCTTGGACTGTTCCCATCCTGTCCCAAACCTTTCTCAAAGCCTCCTTTGTTTGTTGACGGATGGAGAGAGGGCAACGTACTGGATTCCAGATCTGACTCTGGCGAGGAGGCATAGGAAAGTCGGGATGCCATCGGAAAGAGGAAATCTTCTCCCACGTTTTCCTCCAGCTGACACAGACCACAAAACAACAAACATGGACATGACATCTGAGACAAACACACACAAGGGGGAGGCACACATACAGATACCAGGAGGAAATGTGGACTAGGCACAATATATATAATTTACAATGGAATTATATCATATCAACTCTTGACAGTGCCCAAAGACTCTTGTTAAGCTTGAACCTACAGCAGCCAACTGTGATTATAAATTTCAAGCATGCATACATTCCATTAAAAAATTTACTATAGTCTCTTGAATGTAGAGAACTCATCTAATTGTTGCAAGGTAGTGCATGAAGGGATAGAACTTCTGAAATGACCAGTCTTTACCCATCTGAATGAAGTGTAAATGACATTTAATACCCCTCAAGGTCATGCTGTCATGGAATAAACAAGTAGACATTTATACAGCAGGTAAACCTTTGAGCCATACAAGCTGTGTCGGATTGGATGGGTGAGACGGTGTTAAAAACGAGATCAGAGACGAATGGAAGGAATAGGGTAGGAAGGACATCCCAAAGGCATGAGAAATATATCTGAACAGAATTCAATAGGCTGCAAGAGAAAAAAAAAAGTGGGGGGGAGAAGGAACACAGATGGCTTGAAGATGTGATATGCAAACTCCTTCAAGAAAGAAACAATCTCACCTTCCTCTCAGACATCCAGATTGGCTGGGTCTGCTGTCGCTCGATCATTTCCCGGATCTTCCCGAACCATGATTCCTGATTGAGGGACACAGTGCCTGTGAAGAGGTGACACCAGTGTCTTTCCAGCTTCTCTGCTTCTTCCAGTTGCTTTCGGCTGCTACGCTGACCCAATTTGTATCCATTCCTTGCGAGCAAGCAAAAGCCTTTTATACTTTAAGTACAACACTCTTGTTTATTTGTAAATTTTCATTGATCCATGAGGTAACCCCCTACTACCAATGCATAAAATTGACATCACTGATGTCAAACTTTGATTCATGAGAAAAAACTCTTGGTGCCCTCAACCAATCTCACCTCATTAAACTGGAATTTCAAGGATAAGGGATGGAATGTGAATAGACAAAGACAACACCAGAGACCTAGCAGAGAGGAAAAATTTCCCTCTTCTCAAACAAAGAAAAGGGCCTGCCAGAGCTTCCTTCTTCCCTATCTCTTCCAAAAGATCAGAGGGGCTTTCCCCCTTCCTTATCAACTGCATCACTTCTCATCATTGTCAGCTTGGATTCTTTTGTTCATAAAGAGTTGCAGATAGTCTAGTCATTAGATAATTATTTAAATTACAAGTTATTCCTACTTACAGACTCAGACAGGACATCAGATTTAATGCAAGATTGGATGGAAGTGAGGGTCATATTGGGTCAAGTGCATAAGTAAAAGCCAAAGTGGCAGACACTGACAGATGTCTGGAAATCTTTGCAAGATGTATACAAGCACTATCTTATATAAGCCAACTCAAATCAATGGAGTTGGGAGCGTTTTCCATTTGTAGCATAAGTAAGATTTGTTTTCCCTCTGTCAAATCAATACTACATCATCCATATCAATCAAATTCCTACCCTCCTGACCTGTCACTGTTATGACAAAACAAAAAACATGTTTGGCTTAGAGCAAGCACATAGTGGGAAAATGTTGCATCATACTGACACAATAAATGAATGAAGAATGTCTTGGACAGATTCATTAGTTATGACAGAATCAATTAGGCTCTTGAAGCCTGAATTGAGGACAGTTCATGGATCCCCAAATGGTCTGTTACACATAATCTCTTAATTCAATGCTTTTTGAGAGAATCAAGATTTCAATACTCACAGGGAGAATTTGGCACGCAGCTCCTTGATATTGTTCTTGGAGTCAGGTCGAAGGAAGATAACAACAGGGTAGAAATGAGCATAGTTGAGGCGATCAACAGCACTTGGTGTCACATCTAACACAGAATGCTTCCCACAATCCATGATGTCTTGAATGGCACTCAGGCGGATAATTCCACACGTCCGCTTCCGTCCATCTTCGGATGTACTTTCTTGATCTACAAATTATTTTAAAATATACAAATCCTTCAGAAGAACCAGCATTCCAAAGTTAAAGATAATGCCATATCATGTCACATTATCTGTCATCTCAGAATTTTCATAATTATGTTTGATAAGACAATGTGGCATTGAGTTGCTACTTCATGTGGAAGCAACTGCATGAAAATATAAAACTTTACGACTCAATGATGAATCAACAGAAACAAGTGCAAGGACTTAGTGAATGAATGAAGCCATGAATAATTATTTTTTAAGATACTCACGAGGAGAGGCAAACTTGTCAGGGGCATCTTTCAACAGTGTTTCTCTTGCTACATCAGACATGGGTCCAAATAGCACAATGGGACGCATGAAACCTGGGTGTCTCAGGCTCACTCTTTCATATGCTGGGAACTTGGATGTACAATCTGAAAACACCACATCATCCCAATGATCCTGCAAAAAGGAGTTCCAAAAAAAAATCATGATCTACCTATGCCAAAGCTGTTAATGGAGCCAAGTGAGCAAAAGGGGGGGAGGGGGGGAATTAGGAGAAATGGAGGAATGAGGGAGTCATACTCGAGAAAGAGATTTGGCTCGTCGATGGATGCGCTTGCGACGGAAGAAGCTCCCTCTCCCAGTTCTGTCTCCTTGCTCTTGCTCCTTCTTGGAGGCATTATATTGAGCAGTGGCCAATTCTTCTGCCCTCTCACGATTTGGAATCACACCCCCTTGGGTCTCTTGATTGTTTCGTCCTGAATAAACACAATCCACACACATCATCCATCAAATCCATGTGACCACCAAGAAAACTTGTATTATATAAAATGATGAAATTTATATGGAAATTGTGAAAAACAGTCTTTACTGCTCACTAACCAACACTACCACTACCAACCAGGCTCAATCCTAGTCAAATAGGAAGCCTCAGCATCATAGATGTTAATTGAGAGTATATATGGGATAGTTATATGAGATAAAGACAGAGTGCAAGGAATTGGTACATGGCTTGAGCAAAGAAGGGATAACCATTCAAACAGTCGTAATTCTCAATCACAGCTTGGAAATATCACAATAAAATTACCACAGAGATGTCATGTTATGGAGTGTTTTCAAAACCAAAGAAATATTTTGTCACATCTGTGAGTAATGGTAAAAGTTTGGTAAATTTTGAAACAATTATATACCTGAAAACTCTAACCTGAAACAGTCAACTCAGTGACTGCAAATGGAGACTTACTTCTTTTTCAAGGGAAAGAAGTTGGCTAATCAACCAAATTCTAAAATTTTGTTCACATCCATAATCCCAGAATAAGCTGGTGACCTTGATTACAGCATAAATCATTCTAACCCTCAGAACATCCTCAAACGAATTTCTTTTTGGTTCTGGAAAATTCCTCCCAAATAAACTCAATCCCATGCTCTGCATAGCATTGAGTTAATTTCTCATGTTCCATCAAATGAAGTTCAAAGGCCATTCCAATATAACGAATGATACCATTCTTTGCACAGTCAAATAGGATCTAAACACTAAGATGTCTTAGAAAAACTTGAGAACAAACTTCAGACATTCAATGATACCAATCCATACATACTTTCCCAAGCCTACTTAAGGTATCTAGAGTAGGGGTGAGTGTGATTACCAAATAGAAATAAAACTGAGGAAACAAAAAAAGTAAAACAACACTGACCAATGCGGAACACCTGCCAAGCACCGACAACTCCATTATGAAGTGTGTCGATGACATGAAAAATGTCTCCTCTCCGAAATGTCATCTCTCCTTTCTGTGGTTGCTCATGGTTGAAATGTGTCCTTATTTTAACAGAAAAAAGGAAAATAAATCAAACATAAAAATGAATAAAAAAAAAACAGAATCAGAAAGATGCAAATGAGAAACTGAGTAAAAAAAAGGAGGAAGAAAAATGTAAAACAAGTCAAACCCCTAGAAACCCTAGAAACTCAGAAACCCACTTGATATAGAAGGAGTCTCCACGTTGCCTTGCAACAATGTCTTCATATTCAGCTTTTCTATATTGCACAATGAGATCAATTTGGTCTTGGAGAGAAAGAAGAAACAGCACAGCCTCTTCACGAGTCACACCCTTCATTTCCATTTCATTCACCTGGGAAGGGAAGGGAAAATACAAAAGTTAGAGAATAAAAAGGAATAAGGTGCAGACAATAGACTTAAAGTTTTCAGGACATGAGAATTCATTTTGATGTATACTTTATCCATAATGCAAGTGATTGATGGTCTGATTATAAATGAAGGCAATGATATGACTTGAATGTCAGGATCATTTCATTCCCCTGTCATGAATTTGAATAAATGCAGGGGAAGTGGAAAAATGCACTTTGCATGTGAATGGAATGTGCATAGTCACTTGCCTTGAGTATTTTGTCTCCAGGCTGGAGACCCTGTAAGTGAGCTGGACTTCCTGGTTGCACTGCCGTAATGAAGATCCCCGTCTCATTTCCACCTGTCAAGCGAATCCCCACTGAGCCTTCCTTGTGAAAACTCACAAAACGTGGATCTGGAAGTGGCCTGCAGGATGGAAAACCACAAAAAGCCTTTAGTATATTTTGGACTTCAGAACATCTCCAGAAACTTACTTCTCATATACCACCAAATGTGTGGAAATTAGTGAATTAATTAATAGATGAATTATACAATTACATTTACTCAACTGAGGGCAAGTACATACAGCAATCACTAAAAATGAGATTTGTCAGATAGTGATTGAAAATGTCAGACAAGCAGAGATTAGAATAATTGTAAAATATAAAAAGGAGTTGAGGGATGAAGGGCTCTCTTAGGGCATGCCAATACCTACAAAAGGCATGCAATTGATACAGACTTAGTCTAAGTTACAGACTTGATATGACTGGAGCAAAACACAGGACTCTGAGAAGAGAAAGAAGAGATGCTCACGAATCAATTTGATGAAGCTTGGAATCCTCTGTGTACAATTCCCTTCGACTGTTGTAGTAGTCTGCAAAAAAACATTCCAGGTATTCATGAAAAATAATAGATGAAGGTGCACATGTCCCTAACAAACTCATCTCAGTTTCATTAGATTTTACTTCAAAATGGGATTTTTCTAAGATGATCAAAGCAATAAATAACCCAAAACTGGGAACCAAGGGAAGCTGGGGAATATTTCAATTACTTCTTGTCAATATATATAGAAATAGGTCATGATAGTCTGCTTGATCATTTTCTTTCCTTCAAAGAAAATAAAGACACGATAGTTGATATTTTTCCAAATGTAGCATATGGTATCTTCAACTCTTCTAATGTGATATGTACTTCAACTCAAGGATGGACATTGCTATCATTGGGCATGCAAAGCCATATGAATTCATAATGACCATGCCATATCACAGTTGCTTTAAGACTATCCAACTGCTTCAAACTCAAGCACTCACGACAAAAACACATAAAAAGGGAGAATTGAGAAGAAAAGCTGACCATTTTCTGGTACGGGAAGTGGAGGCCTTGGAGGAGGAGGTGGAGAAATGTCCAACCCTCTTTCTGGGTAAGTGGGTGGAGGAGGAAGTGGAGGTGGAGGCCTGTGGGATTCCCCTCGAGTCGGAGGCTGAACGTACAGGTTCTGGCTTGTGTACGACGGTCTAGCTTCGGTGATGTCGATGAAGTTTGACCTACTCCATGAGTCTGATAATGAGCATTAAAAAATCGCCTTCAGCATCTCATGCTCATTCCAAATGATCATGCAGCATGTACTGTATTATGCAACCTAGCACAAAGGAGGTAAAGATAGCTGTCATTGGAAAAGTAGTTTTTTAAATATAAAATAAGGCCAAACTATCAACTTGGACATACTTGAAAAAAAAAAACAACAAAAAGGACAGGGAAGATTCAACTGAATGTCAAGCTCACTTTTGGACTGTTCACCACAGGAAAGATGGGGGGGAGAGGGGGATCCAGCAGTGAGTCCTTGCTGCCTCTTCACTGTTAAATGAAGCTTTTCTCGACTCCCCTCCACCAGTTTCCGAGCCTCTTTCAATGACATGTTCTCTGTTGAACATGAATTTATCTTCAGGATGGTGTCCCCCTCTTGAAGTGCACCTTCTTTCTCGGCCAGGCTTCGACTTGTGATTTCCTTCACGTAAATCTTGCATCCTAATATGATGCCAAAATCTGGAACAGACAAGTCAGGCCAATCAACCCTTGGTTAAGCTGCCATCATCATTGCTCAATAAAAAAAAAAATAAAGTCTTCAACCTCATTTTTTAAACTTGGATCCTCAACTAAAAGAAAACTGTCAAGTTCACCTCTTCAGAGTACAACATTTATAAATAGGCTTGCTCACACTTCTTCTACAAAATGCCCATTTCCCTATAGACAATTATGATGTTAATCATCATGAATAAAAAGTTAAGAATTGGAACTTCCTTATATCATATTTGGTGTGCAACTAAAGAGGATAGAAGAATTTCTCTCTGATATGCTGGTATTATTCTGTAGCTGCTAGGATACTGAATACATGAGAGCAAGCCTGATGGTAATCTTGAATATAGGAGCAGATATTCAAGCCATTATCAAGTCGATAGCCATAAAAGTTGACTTGACTGAGTTCATAACATTTGTACTCCAGTACAATGAGTCCCACATGAAACTTTCCTCAACCTCAGCTCCAGCCTCCTGTTTCTAAAAACTTTATTATATCCACATTAATACAGAAAGGCACAAGACTGTAGAAGATGGAAATTTTTTCTTTTTCTGAAGTCAGTAAAAATGTTATACCTCCAAGAATTTCAGATAGACCTGTTTACAATGAAAAAACCAATTAACCTAAAATCACAAAAAGGTTATCAATAAAAAAAAAACATTGGCACATCAAATTCAAAACATGCCAGGAATAACCAACAGGCTATACATAGCTGCTAGCTCCAAAGGAGCATGTTACCAATATGCCACAGCCTTACATGCTACATTTAATATTCAAGATTTAACTCTAACTCAATCACTCCAACAAAAATGATAAGGTCTACACCTAGTTCAGGCAGGTGACTATGATAAAATTTACCATCATAGTTCCAAAAGTAAGATAAAATCTGGTTCAAGGTTTGTTTCAAATCGGGAAAATTCATGGTTTGAAGCTTTGCCAAAACAAAAAGGGGACATCAATCATCAACTGCATCAGGCGGAGTGCCAGGCACAACAGCTGTTTCACTTTTCATCCCACCAAAGCCCTATGGTATTTTTCATCCTGACTCATTCTGTTATGATGAATCCTTCTTCATTTCCTTTCTACTTTCATGACCCTGATTTCAATTACTATGACCTTGTACTTTTGCTATTGTGTTTTATCTCACTAAGTGGCACGAAAGCATGAATGACGTTAACACTAAAGAATGCACTAATAATGCTGACACTGCACAGCAACTGAAAAAGGAGAGCTTTCCTCCTGTCAACCACCTCAGAGTTCTTATCGGAATGCATTGAATAAACATGAAGGCAGATCCTCACCTTCCTTCTTTTTGTTCTTGGAAAGTGTGACCTTGAGCAACTGGGAATCAGGGGAGGAATTGAGAATGACTCGTCTCTTCACAACCAGGTGGAGTGTGGGACCTGATTCTCGCAGGACTTGCACTGCAGTTGAGTAGTCCACATTCTCCAATGAAACTCCATTTGCACTCAGGACTCTGTCATTGATCCTGAAACACAAGGATTCTATCATTTGAAAAATCTACCAAAAAATCATTATAAAGTAAATATCACTGCACACCCAAACCACCTTGATTCGTTGTTATTTACAATATTATACAAAGAGTCCAAAGCCATCATAAGATCCCCTTGATCATACAACCATCTGCCAATCTACATCAATGTTTTGTTCATAAGGACTTCTATGATAGTTTTGTGTAAGTGAGAATCCCTTGTTATCTTTGTTATCTCCACGCCGCTTTCCACCTGGGCACAAAACCCCTGGGCATTGTTACTCTCTCTTCATTAGCCCTGATGTCCATATGACACATCCTTTACTTTCCCCCTCATTACTCAAATGGAGGAAAGGGGGCACTCAAGAAGGGTGCTCTGGATTTCTTTGATGAGACTACTTATAGTCAAAATGGTTGAGTTCAATTGGGGGAACTTCCTGTTACACTGAGAACAGGCACAGAAGTATCTTTTCTGGTCCATTTAGAAATTTGTTTGCTGACAAACTGATAACACAATCTTAGCTGAGCAATGTTTGACTCCAATTAAACTATGTTCTCTAACAAACCTTATTATTCCAGTCTTGATGGACCTTGACCTTGCTTTGTAGGTGAAAAAAAATTGACTAAGGACATTTTCATCAGCTAAAGTCATAGCAGGATTAACAAAAACTCTTTACTAAACTTCCATATTGGCCCAAATAGAGGGCAAAATTGTACTCTCATTAACTCCTGTTCTCGTGGGCAAGTGTCATTTCAACTGACTTGATGCGGTCTCTGAGAAATTGAGAAGTTCAACTGAACAAGATCATGCACTTTCTCATTTTCATCAGGGCACTTCAAAACCTACTTAATCTTGGGAGAATCTCAAATCCTCAACAGTAGTCCTAGTCCAGTAGTAGGCATCTGAACAAGATGGACATAATGTCATGCCATGAGTACATGTAGGATACTGTTTATTATTATCATCTTAGGCAAAAGAATGCTTCCTCATTATCTGAAGGATACAGAACATGATTTCTGCTGGGTTTTTACACCAGACATATCACTATTACTCATTTCTCCTCAAAACTAATTTTTTTTATGACAATGCCAATATTCACTGTCAGTAGAGCCATCTACCAAAAAATATCACCCTCAACAGGGATGCCCCAACAAGCAACTACTTCATTATATTTACCCACAAGGTTCACAATACCAATATATCACAGGACCTGTAAATACTCTGGCATAATTAAAAAGATGCAGGCAAGTTGACTCAAGGGATATTTTGATGTAACATTGCATCAAAGAGGTGAAAGTGTTATTTTTGCAAGCATTAATTTTGGGGAATAGCTACACATCATGTCAGCTTCAGCTTCTTACATATAAAAATAATTATAATTAGAACTGCAGATCTTGGGGTATTTCATATTCAAAGTGTCTGGGCCTCAACCTGAACCACTGGATGATACTCATTCAAATACAATGCATGTTTCCTTTTTGTGGCAGTGAAAGTGTAAGGAAAGAAAACCAAGGTATTTCTAATGATGACACCAGTCTCTGTTGAATGGATTTTTGCCACCATGGCAACAACAGGACAATATTCACATCATTTGGTTCCATCTGTACCATCTTCTCCCTCTCTCAATAGGTTTAGCATGAGAACTTCAGTATTGCTCAGAGAACTACTACTACTTCTGTAAAAACCAAAACATCAATCCTTGAGGTCAGAGAAAATGCAAACATTTAAAAGCCCTTTCATCCTTGGCCATTATGTTTGAGAGAATTTTGCTGTGCAAGGGTTTCCCCAAGGGTCTCCTTCATGAACCAGACATTGGATGAAGACAGACTGGTTATTACTGTCATATACCCTCTTTCCTGCATTCATTTTCATCATTGTGGGATGCATCACTACATGTTGCTGCTTCTGCTATGACGAAGGGTGTCACGAGGATGACACGAACTTTCGTGACGGGAGTCCACACAAGAATGAACAAGTTGTACATATCAATGATGCAGGTAGTAACAATATAAGACACTGAAAACTAACTGGAGTTTCCCTTCAGCAGGACCAGCCTTGAGAACATCAGAGATGGCGATCGAAGGGTCTCCGTTGGTGAAATGCGGATTGTCCCTCCCACCGGACACGGCAATCCCGAATCCGTACCCAGGGATCCTTTCCAGCGTCACATTATGAAACTCCCACACCACACGTTCTCCCCCCTACAGACAATAACAAAATGCACCAAAAAATGAATGAATGAAGAAATTAATGAGGAACAGCTCATTATATTTACTTAAATCATTCCAGTAACATGAAAGAAAGCAAAGCTCAATCCAAGAATTGCAAGGTGAAAATTGGAGCCACGAACAAATCTTTCCTCTGCAAGGTGCCTATCAGCCAGAGCAACCAAACTGAATATTTGTGATGTCAAACAATGCAATCTTGAGTTTTTTTTAATAATTAAATCTGCCATTATATTGCACATTCTAACAACTTTTAATTGCAGCAAGATTCCATTTACAGGACAGTGTCAGCTTTAAAACCAGTTTCACCCTCGTCTTTGGTGTACTGGCAGCGTGCCAGCTAGGATCTGACTAAAAACAAAGAATGATCACCACCCATAGGTGGAGTGCCTTGATTACCTTGAGATGACTGAAAGCCGGATTTAAAGCTCGTGTAAAAACCTGAATGTGAAGTTGAACCACTTTCTCTCCAGAATTGGTGGCTGCATATTTCCTGAAAGAGGCTAATGACTTACTGGTCCAGCAAGTGCCTTTCAGTACTTTCTACACCGGTACTCCCTTCAGCCCTACATATCAATAACCCCAAAAGTAAAACCTCAGGGCTAAGATTATTTCATGCATCCCCCGTTGTCCTTTGTCTGACCAGTTCAACACCATGGGCATGGGCCATGGGCATGCATCAGCTCTATGCATCAGGCTGATACACGCATGAAGTTGATGCATGCTAAGCATCCCAATTAGCCTCCATCAATCAAACACTTGCTGAAATTGCCTTCAGAGATTTCATCTCGGCACTGCCTCGCAGTTAAGACTCTCAACAACATAGCCCCATAGCAAAGTGGCTTGAGGGAACGAGAAAAAGGAATCCGGCGTATCCGGCCGCCCTCTCCCCCCCCCCATTCCTCAGGCATTCCGCAAGTTTTCTCTGCATTGCCCCCATCCCGTGACCTTAAAACTTTTCTCGATTTTTTTCCTGCACATCTTTCGGAGTTTACGAACAATAAAATCCTCGAGCTCGACAAATTCTCTCCCCGAACATCCATCCCACACCCTAAAAAAAAAAAACACCTTATCGATTCCATCGCACAACGCTTCGCGCTCGCGTACCAAATCCCATCAAGATCGCCCAACTCCTTCTAGGTCGCGCTTTCCCTCGACACCGAACATCAACAACCATATTTTCCACTCGATTTCCAACGCACGTCAAGCAATCATCGCCGCAACAACGGTAAATAACCCCGAAAGTCCAGGGCATGCCACGAGAGAAATGAAATTGCAACGGGGAGGGACAGACAGCCTTAGGCTGCTTGGAAGAACCCTACATATTTTCTTCACCCAGAAAATTTCGAGAAAAGTAAACAAGGGCGACCTCGAAAAGGGATCAATCCTCTCCCACAAAGGAGTCACAAAAATATTCCATTCAATAAAAAAAAAGGAACGCTCCTCTGAGAATCTCCCTCGGCCCCGCTTTTCCCCCCGTTTATAGCTCGGAATTCCGGGCCGCGATCTGAATTTTAAACCACAAACGGCGCATTTCGATGCCCCGACTCCTTATAAGCTTCCACGGTCGTCACATTTCCCTCCGGAAAACGGGGCTCTCTTTTCGAACCGATGGAAAATCAGCCAACACTGGCCATTATTTCTTCAATGAATCCCTTTCGAATCTGTCTGCCAGCAAGCCTGCGCTTGAGATTTTTCTATCTGAGCCATGGAATTCGTCGAATACGTCCAGCTAAAGGCCAAGTACCTGAAGCGCGGAGGCATTATTGGACTGCGCAGCAGTCCCATTCCCGATCCCGATCCCGGTCCCCGTCCCGATCCCGATCCCGTTCACGGGCCCCGTCCCGGCCCCGGTCCCAGAATGAACACCGACCGCTTCGACTACATTCGACGGCACCGAATTATGCTGCGGGTGGAAGTGGTACGGATGGTGATGATGATGCAGATGATGCGGATTCATCCCGAATCTTTCCAGCAGAGCGAACAGCGAGGAAGTGAAACACGGCATGGAGGCATCCCGAGTCACTGGTGCACCCAGTCACCACAGTCCGCACAGTCCGCACCACCGCCCCGCGAGCAGAGCAAGCGAAACAGTTGCGAAGTGAGTGAAGGCCGTGCCCTCATGAGTCTGGAATGCGCTTCCACCTGTGGGTCCGGTCGTTCGATCCCCCCAGGCACCGTGGGGCTCGCGATCGGCCGGCGACCGCGTCCCATCCGACTCGCTTACAGGTGGCTGGGCGGCGCAACGGCGATCCCAAATTGCACCTTGTTCGCGGCCGTCTCGCCCCGAGCCACGGAGGGGGAGAATAATATGACTGATGGCATTGTCACGTTGCCCGGATTGAAGGCTACTCCTTTTGCGTCTTGCATTTTTATTCATGAGCCACGTCTCGAGTTCGGTTGCACCATTCGGATCGATGCGGCGCAGTCGACACGGAGGATCGACACTCCCTGTCGACTGCACGATCGCTCGCGACGAGTGCAACGAACAAATCGCGACGTGATGGATCGCTGTAGCCGTTCGGCCGTAAACATATGACGACCCTCGCCACGCAAGGAGAGCATTCGACACATGTCGACGAGAGGAACGAAATTCCCCCCGACCCCATCCGTTAAACTGCCGTCGTTACGTCCAGAAATTCATCGCCGGCGGATGATGCGAGGGGAGCAACGCGGAGCCTCGACGAGACCCAAAACGACCCCCTAACACGCCAGCCTCCACCCAGAAACGCGCCCGACCTCGATCGAAACGATCCCAGTCGACCCAGCAGTCCCCATCCCGACGACATATCCCCATGCACGATGCCCCACGGCATCCGCCATTCGAATCCCCGCAGGACGGCGGTGCCTCGCGAACCGCATCAAAGCGCTCCCGGAATGAATGCAAACCGCGATAGAATCAACGCACCCGAGAGAACCGAGAAGTAACGTTTCGTGCATCCACGACAGGATGCACCGCTCGTAATGGGCTCTGACCCATAACACCTCCCCGAGCACTGCTCCCACGGACCCGAGCCAGAACCTCATCAGCCTCATCACCCGAGCCAGAACCTCATCGACCGAGGCAGCCCGGTCCCGTTGTCTCCCCTCCATTTAAACGGTCTTCTCCCCCCCATTCCACCCGCAAGGCATCTCGGGACGTCACCGAACCACCCACGAAAAAAAAATCAAATCTCTTGAGGCCCCTCACGAAGACGACCCTTAATGAAGTGAAGCCCCGACCATGTAATCATCGAAACGAAAACCGTATCATCGCGACGGGCTTCAAGCGTGAGGCAACAAAAAAAAAAAAACCTTAATTGCATACCGAACCTCTTCTCGTCTCTCGCTCGCTCCCTTCCCGGGCACCGATGCATGGTACGAGTAAATTTATGGTACGAGTAAGTTTTGCTGCGGGTTCGACTTGATTAATCGATTCGAGTTCTAATCGCAGAAAAAATAACCGCAATCAATCACCATAAATAGGCACCCGGATTTCGCCTCTAATGGATCCCCTCCAGGCAAAAATCTTCGAATTTCCCCCAACTAAATCAGAGAGAAAAACAAAAACCGAAGAGCGACCGATACTCGGACGATGGCATTCAAAATGCTCTCATCGATTCGTTCCGCGGAGAATGACGAAAGCAATTGTCACCTGACGCAGCAGTTCGAGTCAGATGACAATGCTTCGGGCCCCGTCGATTGTTACGGTCGCCTTCGCCGACGCGGCAGAGCGAATCACGGCTGACATATTTCGATCAGTCGATTAAACGGTTCGCAGCCGGATTCAAACCTTTAAATGCATCAGCAGCCCTGAAATAAATCGGCAAAAATTTTAATCCTCCCCAAACGCTTCCAGTTTCACCGTCCAGGCATTTGTGAAGGGGGCATGGAGGACGGGGGGGAGGGGGGTGTAAGGGGGGGGGGGGATTACAAGAGGGCAGCTGATCGTCGGTAATCCTTCATCGTCGAGTGCGAGCTCCCGCTGAGACAGACACGCGGAGTTCATGTTCGGCGCAGGATTCCCCGCTCCTCATCCTGCATTTTTAATCAGACAAAGACGGAGGGAAGGGAATCCAAGAAGTAAAGCCATACTCCGGTAATAAGTCAGGGGGAATAAGCCAGGCGAGCGAGTTTATCCCATCGAGTCCGGCATACTCCATCCCGAACGACTCCTTTGTCTATTCCTCCATGTCCATTCCATCAATGACATCTTCACGCTTAAACGTCACTTCCTGGAACCTATTATACCAGCGGAATTCACTTCCCACCCCCTCCCCCCTCCCCCCTTCGGTGGCGAGGCGAGATTCCGAGACGAACTTGAACACGAACGATCCCCCCCCCCCCAGGATTGAAGTGGGAACGCAACCGCAAGACCACCGAACGACTGCCCCACTGAACCACCAACCGACTCCCCCGATCGTTTCTCCCCACATTTTTCTCTCCCTTTTTTCCCCCCCTCTAGCATAGGGCTCACAGTTGGCCTCCGATGGCTTTGCCGGTGCCGCTGCTGATGATGATGCCGCCGCGACCTGCGACTCCGCGACGCGGACCTCTTCCTCCTCCTCCCGAGGAATCGCTTCACCACGAACATGGTTCCAAGGGGGACTGCAGGGAGACTGCAGGTGACAGGATCGAGATTTCGGTCTCATGCAGGCCGATATTTTATGGGCGTCGACGTCGTCTCCGGTTCCAGGGTGTCCAATTACTATCACGACACCCATTGTTCCCCCCCCCCCACTCCCCGCACAACGACAAACAGTGACGATAGTGAGCGGAAGTCACGCCCACGGTTGATTGAACCCTCTCCTCGGTCGCGAACAAGGCCACGACAGGGACTTTTTTTTCCCTAATACTCAGGTTACCCGGAAAATCTTGAGACGTGTGAAGGTCAGCACCCGTACGAAGAAACCATTTGAAGGGGCGAGGGGCACGTTCGAGAGAAAACAAAACCGCAATAAAGCATGATCCTCTGCCTTCGTGACCGGAGAAAGTCGTGAAAGCCAGCTACCCCAACCGTGACTTTGAACCCAAGTCGAGAGCACTTCTGCGGCACGATTTCTTTGCGAATTCTGGTTGACCTTTGGAAAAAGCGAGAGTCTTCCCTGCCCTCGAGACGGGAGCACCTACCAAAGCCTCAACATTTCGCCGAGTCCAAGAATGGAATCTACTTCGAATACGACCGGGACGCGCAATCGAGCCACGAACGATCGAGACCCAGAAGACCGACGACCTCAAACGCCACACGACCGCGGAGGATTCCTAACGCCCTTCCGCCTCGATAGAAGCCAGACCTAATTGGAATCAGGAAGTACCGCCGCGACCCTCCATCGACATCTCGATCCTCCAAAGGCGACACCCACCCTGGAAGCCCTAAACGACCCGAGCGAGCGTGCGCGACGGAGGGCATTCCTGCCGTGCCAGCGACATCGCAACAGGCATCCCGGATCCACCGGTTTCGTTCCCTCACCGAGAGCCAATCCAGTAGCGATGAGAAATAAAAACGGTGGCCTCTTTCTTCGGAAAGACTCGGCACACCTCGAGGGACCGGAAAGCCGTGAACTGCAGGTAGCAGGTCCCCCCGGCCATCGAAGAGCAGCGGCCGGCAACTGGACGGCGAGGCAACGCCCCACGACGAAGCATCGAGCCACTCGCTCCCGCAGAAGCCACGACCCGAAACCCAA